CTCCCCAACCAAGATAAACTAGCCATTCTTAAAAAAAAAAAAAAAACAAGGAGTCTGGTGGCACCTTAAAGACTAACAGATTTATTTGGGCATAAGCTTTCGTGGGTAAAAACCTCACTTCTTCAGATGTTTTTGTAGATACAGACTAACATGGCTACCCCCTGATACTTGATGCCATTCTTAACATTCACAAGGTTTGGAATTTCCTCCCCTTTGTTCCCAGACAAACTTTTGGAGATTGGGGTAGCTCTCTCCATGGGCAAGTCATTACCCCCAACAGACACAGTCCTAAGAACACTTCCTTCCTGGGTTTTAGTTGAGTCCAGAATCACATCTGGCACAACTGACAAATCCTCTGTCAGCATAAACTGAGAGGTACTTTCTGCCTGTTCCACAGACAGAACACTGGAGACAGTTTCTCCCCCGGCAGTTAAACTGCTTTTCTGACTAGACAAACGGTTTGAACATCCCTCCCCCTTGTCACAGGCCAAATGGCTTTTCACAGACAAACACTGGGAGATTGGGATGGCTTTCTTAACAGGCAAATTGCCACTCCCAAGAGACAAAGCACAGGAGACAGTTTCTCCCTCATACCCGTTGAACTGAATCTGTTTAGTGGTGGGTCTCCCTTCGGAGATCCTGTCCGCTGGCAATTGGGCTAACATCCCTGGGTTCCCCACTGTAGCCCTCACAGTGGGTCTCCTCCATACGTCGCACTGACGTCTTGCGATCAGCTGGGGAGGCCCGTGGGGAACCGGACACCCCTACTGATCATCAGACTCCCAGAGCGTCCACTCAAAAGAGGGAGCAGGGATCTGGCTTTGACAGGGAGTGGACGTGCGGGATGGACTCCGTACCAGGGCAGTGGGTTGTGGAGGAGATCTCAGCATTAACTCCATTTTCCACATGATCTGAGACAAAGCATTAATCAGGATGCTGAGGGGCTGGTGATCATATTTTCCCATATCCTCCCCTAAATTCACCAGCTCCTTCCAAATCATGTTGCTAAGGGTCTGCTTGGGTCAGCGCTGGCCAGGGTTGTGGGAAGGAGGGGCACTAGTGTTGGGAG